GGGCCCGGTGGCCACAGGAGGGGGCAGCGCCAGAGCCTCACACGCAGCGGCGCCGTGGACTGGACACGACCGACCGGACTCGAACGCTGTCCCACCGTGGTGCGCTCCAGCAGCCTGCCCTGGTAGGAGCCAAACATCCACGGCCTTCACTGATCGCCAACTTCCACCCAGCTTGGGCACCCAACCAGGTAAACACCCAACTCGCTGCTTGACTACGTGGCTATTAACAGAAATCAGAAATGCAAAAGGGAAAATACCTTGCTGATCCCATTGGATGTCTCGTTTTTCCTACGTTAGGTCTTTTTTTTTCTGCGGTTGTTCTCATTTCGCAGGGAAACCGTTTCACGGAAGTGCTGTGACTTCACGTGAGTATCAAAAGTAGCAGAGACACCTTTATCGACAGAGAACTACGTCACGTTTGTACACACAGGTCACCAGAAGGAACTACCCCTTCACTTTTTAAACGGGGCTCACAGACCCTACCGTGAACGGCTGGCCCCCAACATCCCCTGCCGCAAACTGACTGGGATTACCAGTTCATCCAGACTCCTGGCTGCATAAAGCTACCTGTCCAGTGACAGAGCTTACAGAATGACCACCTTGTCCCTCCACCACACTTCCAGGGCGTAGCTGCAGGGCTGCATGACTGTGGTACTCATCGATTGCAGTTTGGAAAGGGAAGAGGAGTTTGTTTGTAGGTCCAAACAGAGAACCCAGACCTAGAAAATACACTGTGGTAACACTTAAATAGTTTGTATTTGAGGAAGAAATGTAGCATTAATGTAATTTTTCAGATCTGAAGAGGATACACGTGGTCACACAGCAAGATGAAGGCAGAGCTGGGGAAGGCCATGAAGCTGGGAGGTTTCTTCTTCCTATTCACTAGACAGTGACACCAGAAACTTACCCTTTGTATTAATGAACAGTAATTTGTTAGGAATACATTGTCCTCAGTCTCTCTGACAGCATCACAAGGGCAGTATTCATTTTATGACTCCCATACATGCCTCTTTCCATATATTTTTCTAAATGCCACCTTGTGACCTCAGTTACAAATGCCTTGATTTCAGGCCTTCAGTGGAAATAAACAAATGATTGTTTGTTTGTCTATTAGAGAACTCAGACACAACTAGATAGAAACCAATTTATCCTGAAACCAATCTGGGATTAGAGAAAAAACAATTTAGTAAAGTGACAAGAACAAGAATTTTCAGTTCTAATCAGAGCCGTAACAACAATCCCATCTATGAACAATTCGATCCTTTTGACACCAAGCTTTCCCATCTGAGGAAGAAAAACTTAGAAGAGTTTGAAGTCAAGCTAACCTACGTTTGTAAAGCAGTTTGCTGTGCTGCTTTTAGTGAAGAATGGTGCAGAAAAGCTGAAAGGCAGCCCAGGATCCCAACTCTCAGCTGCATCAATCGAACACAAACGGAAAAGGGCGCTACGCAAAAATGGCAGCAACCCAACACACCCACGCATTTCATAGCCTGGTGGAGGGGTCACTTCTTCACGTAGTACAAACAGAAAGCTGATGTATTCCAAGAACACTAAAATTATGCCACCAAGGCTTGCTGCTGCATGAGAAAATGAACTTATCTTCCCCATGCAGAAAACTCTGGGCTAGCAGAGAATTTCCAGCACAGAGACGATTGCTAGGAACTGGTGATGCCACCTTCACAGCCACACCAGAAGACCAGCACAATGAAAGCCGGTCCAATGTATTTAAAAGAAAACTAGGACCTACCATCTATGTCAGAAGTTTCCGGAGACCCAGATGCCATGCATGAACCATGGAGCGACCTAGGTTGGCAAGGACTTTTGGAAGCCATCTATCTGGTCTAACCCCTTGCTCAAAGACGGGCCAACTTCAACGTCAGCTCAGGCGGCTGAAGGCCCTGTTAAACCGAGTTTTGGGTATCTCCAGATCCTCTCTGGGAACCTGTGCGAGCACCTGACTTTCTGCCAATACGTTAGTTGGAATCTTGTTCAAAACATCCTGGAAATAATTGTTTTCTGCGAACGGATTTGGTACACACTTACTTGTATTTAATTTTTAAAGGCCAAACAGAATCAGCCTTTCAGAACAGCTGCGTACAATAGCTAAAAGCCATGTCAGCAGACAAGAGGAACACCTTCACTAATTGGACATGACCTGCAATCCTACGAATAAAGAATGGTTTCAGGTTCTAAAGTAATTTTCCTGCAATTATCAGGCTCTTAATGAGTGCATTACAAATCCAATATACCTGTACTGGATTTGCCAATAATGTCCTAAGATATTAATCTGTGAGTATATTTTTCTAGTGAGCTTTTTAAGCAGTCACGTTACTTTCCTCTAGTTCTGAATACAAATTTTACAACAATACAGATATGGCAGCATATTTGTGTCTGGAATTTCCTTGAACAATAATTCATTTTTAATAGGAAAGTTGCTGTATTCCACACTTAAAATAACCGAAATACAATGAGAACATTACGGGTAATCTGATTGTAATAGCACTGACTGGCCAGTTTTTATAAAATCAATGGAGTTTTTAGAAACGCTAAATTGCTTAGATTGTTATTTTCAGCTGTTGTCAAAATGGCTCAGCACACCAGATTTTTAAAACACTTTGTGTTTAAAATCTCTATATACAAATCATTACAAAATGAGTCTGAATTGTCTCCAAAAATCCTGTTTGATTGGTTCAGGTGGAAGCTTTATATTACCTGTTAGTCTGGTGTTTAATGAAACTCGTATTTGTTTCCTTCTTGAAATTTTATCTGATTTTTCGACATTTGCATATTTTAAAAGGGTGCTGTAGCAACAGCCACTTTGACACTGGGCATTTGTGAGGAATTAAATACTAGTTTGCATTCACAGTCCAAAGCAAATGCAAGGAATGTCACCGACCTCCAGTAAGTAATTAATTATCACAAAATGCCCTGTGTTTTAACAGTTACTGCTTAAAAACAGTTCTTTTGCAATGAATGTCCCCATATATTTTCACCAAGACACTTCAGAAATTGATATCCCACTAGGATTAAATTAAATTTTCTATTATTATCTAGCTCTATTACAACACTCACTAATTGCTAGTTTTGAGATTGGTACAATCAATCATGCAATTTACATTCCCAGAAATTGTCTTAAATGGAGTATTTTTCCATTTTTTTAAGTTTTAAACTAACAGATTACCTTCAGGAGTGAAGATTAAACAATCTAAATATTAACAGCTCGAGTATGTTTACATGAAAGCTTGTAAGTGTCGCAAACAGAAAGCAGGGGCTTGTACAGGTGTGATTTATGGACTGACTTCAGAAGATCTAAGCCTCTGTGGTGGCTGCAAGAGCTAGTGCCACCCCAGCCATACGGCCCTGACACTTTCTTTGTGCTTATGGCTGTGCATTGCAGCCCACTGAATCAACCACCCTGTTTATCTACTTAATGACAGGACAAAATCACTCCTCTGGAGGCAGCGTGAAGACAGATCAGTATTTTATATATAAATTTATACACACAGATAGATAGGTATATGCATCTATAGATATATATTAAAAAACTGATGTATATGGTTAATCTACACTTTCAGCTTCAGGTAACAGTAAACCTACTATCACACTGTGTGCTGAAATCACAGCTAATCACGAAACTGTACCACCAGTGGCATATCTACCTGTGGCTTTTGTTGGTTTGCCGGACGGGACAAGGGCACATTCTTTTCTTAACGTTGTCATAAAACACGTGTGTTAACCCTGAAGTGCGTACAGGCAAGCCAGCAGAAATATTGTTATCAGCAAATCTCCTTTGTAACACGACTGAAGTTGGGCTCTGTTGCCACTGACTTTTAAGACAGCTCTAAGGTCAAGGATAATGACGTACTAGGTCACCATAGTAACGTTCTTAATACTGAGCTAATGCAAACGTAATGTTTTACCAATGGTGTACGATATCCTATGTATATATTACTGGATACATGACCATGTGTAGTTCATGAATTCAGCTGTATACTGAAGTTGTGAAGAGAGAACAGGACACGTTTGATGGCTCTATTTCGAGCCCACTTTCCCAAGATGAAGCCTCCCATCCATCACGTCATATTCCTGCCGATTCACAGAGCACTACGACAACTGCCTGAATGTTTACCTGATTTTAATCAACAAAGAGCACGACCTTGCTTGGATTCTCACACAAGCATGCTAACTTACACAAGCGTTCCATCTACAAACTTCCACGCTGCTGCTCAGGGCAATCTCACTGCTCTCCACAGCTTCTTGAGGAGGGGACGTGGGGAGGGAGGTGCTGAGCTCTTCTCACTGGTACCCAGCGGTAGGACACATGGGAATGGTCCAGAGCCGCACCAGAGGAGGTGCAGACTGGACATCAGGAAGCATTTCTTTACCAAGAGGGTGGTCAAACCCTGGAAGAGGCTTCCTGGAGAGGTGGTTGATGTCCCTAAGCTGTCAATGTTTAAGAGGTATTTGGACAATGCCCTTGACAACAAGCTTTAACTTTCGGTCAGCCCTGAAGTGGTCAGGCAGCTGGACGAGACGATCTTGCAGGTCCCTTCCAGCTGAACTGTTCTATTCTAAAACTGATCTGCCTCTACCTAACAGAGAGCACATCAAGAGAGACCTAGCAATAAGGACTCAGGGCACAGGGTTACAGGCAGCTGCATGATCTGACGTCTAAGGGCTTGCCCACTCCTCCCTCCCTGGTTCCTCCCTCACATTGTTCCCATTCTTCTCCTGGCCCTCCTACTCCTACCTGTTTACCTTGCGCCAACTCCAATAACTGTCAGACCTTTCTATGAACCTCTTAAACTCACTGACGGAACAGAAACCCATCCCACTGGTTTTGCTGTTTTAGTTTTCCACCACGTTAGAAAGTCAGAGTGAACCTCAGAGGGCTCTGACAAGCTCCAGAAGCAGCACAGTGGGCACCAACACTCAGGAGCAGGAAGGGAGTGGGAGCAGACTCCCCATCTGGCAGCCATGTGCTGCTGAATCACTTCCTATGTCACATGAAAGCCCATGCTTCTGCCTGCAGTACCGCAAGCAGCTGAGCGGACCGACAGCTCACTGCCACCAAAAAGGGATTCTCCTCCTCCTCCCCCAGTTCCTCCCTCTTGAAACCATCTTCTCAAAGGGAATATCCAGCAAGGACAAAGAGGATGTTTAATTTGATTTGTTTCTTTTGATTCTTGGGATGAAGTAACTACACTACGGTAATGAAATTAGGAACGGGAAATCACTGGTGGTGATATGGAATTTTGACAAGGAAGCCAATTAAAATCCTGGGATGAGCTCACGGAGACTGGCTTGTGCACAGCCACACCAGTGACGACAGCACCAGCACTCGGCATGCGCGAAACCGGACTGGAAGCTACATTTTAAAAGTCCTTCAGAAAAACACTCCTGCATCACCATGGGCTTTGTCCTGGATAATCTACACTGTATTCCAGTTTCAGATAACAGTAATCCTTCTGTCAGACGCTGTTCCCAGTTAAATATAAGAAATTCTCATTAGAAACGTACAGTTCAAGGAACAAGAATAAATCTCTTGCGGTCATTTAAAACCTCACTGCAGTAACTCATTAACTACCTTCATTAAGAGACCAACCACTGTTAAATATATTTACCTCATGTATGTCGTTCATCCAGCTTGTTATACTTTGAAAACTGTCCGGATTTGTGATGTCATATACAAGAACAAAGCCTTGGGCGCCCCGAAAATAGCTAGTACTAAGCGTGTGGAATCGTTCCTGGCCAGCAGTATCCCTGAAAGAAATGGTAAGAAATCACACACACACAAAAAAAGAGATGATCAAACTGCAGAACTCCCAAGAAAAATCACTTTAAGGCGTATTGTCCAAATTTTGAATGGTGTACTCTAACACGAAAGGAACAAGAAAAAGAGAAGGGTGAGAGAAAATCTGGGTGCCAGACAGAGTAGTGAAAGAAATACACTAGAAATATATTTTGAATTATACAGCCCTACTAGGGAAGCTAAGCCAGTGGTTGAAGTCTGAGCGTAACTTCAAGCCCTTCACTGCTTCTTTATATACATAAACATTAAGATCAGTACAACTCAGGTGATAAAAAAATACCTGGAGTACAAGCACTGCAGGAGTCTGATGACATCCCTTTGCAAACTGTGACACAGACAGTAAGCTGGTTTAGATGGAAGCTGGGTTTGGGGAAAAAGCTATAAAAGACAGGGATGCAGAGATTCCTACACCTAATTATGCCTTAAGAAAGCTGTAAACAAGCCTCCAAGACTTTTATATTGAAACCTGAGATGGAACAACTGCAGATCTAATAAAGGTCAGATAATTCAGAGCTACTCTTTGAGAAGTCAAATACTGGTAACTATAACCTTCAGTATCGGATGCCTGGAGAGACGGCTGTCAGTAGCCCTGTAGAGCCTTCAGAAAAACCTCGAAAACAAAAAAACAGAGTGTAGATTCCCAAAGACTCATCTCACCAGCCTTCTCTCAGTGACCCTTTTGAACATGCATTTGATGGGTAACGAAACGTAAAGTTTTCTTGCTTTGTCACTTCCCTCAATGTTCCTATACGATTAAATATACTTAATGTGGATCGTAGATCTGCACTGTTTGTATGCTTCAAGTTTTATTGTCAAAGCAACCTAGTGACAACCCTCTTTTTAACGTAGTTGCTGCAAAAAATATGCACCCCTAGGCCAAATTCAAATTTTAAAATGACCTAGTAGGAACAATTGCACTTTAGAAAGACACACAATTAAAAGCAGATGGGATTTTTCACGCTGTAATGTAATTTAGTTGGCTCTCATTTGTGATATGAATTAAAACTTACCATATTTGAAGTTTCACTCTTGTATCATTAAGTGTTACCGGTTTTACTTTAAAATCAATGCCTGAAAGAAAGAAGAAAATTTCTCATAATAACATTGATTCCCTTTGAAAATCGTTTCGTAGCTCTAGTTATCATGCAATTTTGAACAGAAAGTGAAAAGCAACGCTATCAAACAAAGAACAACAAGCCAACTGTATACATTCCAAACAGAAAGGGCAAAAGGAAATTACTCAGTGGCGGTAACAACTCTGTGCCAACACTTTACACAAATACCACACAAAGCAATGGAGGGGCGGGTTGAAGCAAAGGTGCAGACACTCTGAAACTACACGTAGGTATTTCCAGGCATACACAGGTGACACGACAGCAGTTCCATGGTTTATGCAGAATAATACTTGGTTAATATACTGGTGATTTCAGTTGCTTCCAGTCTCATCACAGCAGCGTGGCAGCTACGAATGGGGAGGTAGTAATGCTTACAAAGCTGATACACACACAACTCCATTTTTCTGTCCTTACTTTCAAAGCCCTAAAACAATATCAAGGGTTACATGAACAAGAATTAGCTGTACCAGTTAAATGCAAAGACACACTCTGGATTTCATTCAAAATGAAGAGGATTGTCTCTACAGCCTTAATCACTGTATCTCCCAGAACCAGAGTGCTAATGCTAAAAATCAAGCATCAGCACTTGCAATCAGTGCAGAACATTGTCTCTACATACACTACAGATCTTTCCTCAAAGACACTTTCCTTATAATATATAGTGTTTTCCTTTCTTACATTATCAAATTAGTACTCCCAATGTGGTAGATGATACCTGGACTTACGGGTTCTTGAAGCTCCAGTCTTAATATTAGAGTCTGCCCAGCTATCGGCTGCTATCTTGGAGCGATGCGTTTCCTCACAGTTAACCTTTTGGTTTTTCCCCAATTACTTTATTGCTAAAATTTGAAATACCCTTTGATAATTTCTCTGCTCATTTTTTTTCCCACTGAAAAACAATAAGGCTATTTCTGTCAATTACATTAAGTGAAGTTAAGGTGACATTGCGATAGCTGGCCATACCGCACGGTCAAAATTCCATGAGGTCAAATATGGCTAATTACCATGACTCCAGAGTGGCTTTTCACCAGCAGTAATGTCATTTGAAAGAACTAAACAGATTGAAAAAGCACAAAAAAAATTAAGTTAATACCATTGCACTGATTTCTGCAAGAACCTGTCTGCCAAAAATCACTTTATCAAAGGAAAGCAGCCATGGCAGTAAACCCAAAAATGCAGGCAAGGAAATGCTCCCTTCCTTCTCACCGGCAGATGTACTGAGCACAAAACTCTGACAAGTTCACTCTCACACGCATGATTCCAATGCTATTAACATTTTTGAGTGCGTGTGGTAGAAGAGTTTAGGTGGATTTTTAAAATTATTATGATAATCATATCCTTCACTTGATGAATTTTTATTGAAGCTCCAATGGAAAGGAAAGATGAAATAATATAATTGGTATCTGCAATTAATATTACACAAAGCTTCCTTGATGGAATTAATAATGTCAGATGGAAATGTAATTTAAGTCAAATTTGCTCATGTAAGGTGAAATTCCAACGTGATGGAAAACACTTGCTCCTGAAATTCTCATGGTTTTGTTTAATTATCTGTATCACTTTCTACAACTGACGTTAGAGGGACAGAGAGGGACAGAGTACTGGGAGGCTGGAATGTCACTTTCAAGCGGTGCACTGGAAATACAGCAAAAAATTATAATCCAGCCAGGGTTATATTTCACTATAGGAAACAGTTCTCAGTTGACATACATTTTAATAATAAATTGCTATAAACTTTTTTTTTTTGTTTATAAAAAGGGAAGCAAAGTGCTGAATCAGACTAAAACTTAATCTAAATTAAAATAAGGCTTATTGACTTCTTAAGTCAACTTCAAAATTTATTGACCTAAAAGGTCAATGAATTTTAGTGAAAAACACAAGTCAATATGTTCTGCATGCATGAATTGTTCATGTCTTTATATGAAATTTCCAGCAAACTTAGCAAATTGGAAAGCCAGAGAAGAAAAATGAGAAATACAATGCCAAAGACAGCTCACAGATTTCAGATGCTTTTAGCCCCATGTATTGTACAACATGACCAACATAACAAAGCGAGCATTGATTACCGCTCTTGAGATAAATGTTATTTGAATGCAACAGCTTGAACCTGCTTCTTTTAAGCTGTCAAATAAAACCAAGAAGGGGTATGCTGGGTACAAGTTCAAAATCTAATTGTTATTTCCAAGTTTTATAGCCAGGAGATTAATTTCTTTTCTTTATGGTCCAAATAACAAATATGCCCATATTAGGACTGAGGCACCTTGAAGACAATTACGTCTAAAAACCATCAAAATAGTCAGCCACAGGGGACTTCAGCTGTGAATTCCCCCAGTATCTCTAAAATAGTCTTTGGCCATCTGCAAAAGTCCTCTTCAAAGAGGTCCTTTGCAGCTGGCCTAGAAAATTACAACACCCTTTTCACCCCAATACTGCTGGCAAGTTCCTGATATAAAAAGCTCCAAAAAAAACGTCCACCCAGAGAAAACGTGAGTTTGAGCAGCTTGGCGGGATGCAACAGTGACCCACCGTGTTGCTCGTACCCGTATTTAACCCTGACTGGCTCTTGGGGCATTACTTGCATCAGACTTCTCCTGTACAGGTCAAGGAATAGCTGAAGCAGAGCGGTATCCGAGCGGTCACAAGTACTAACAATTACTGGTTTGGTAAGCAAAGCAACTCAAGGGATAAGATGGCTTGTTAGGAAAGTCAGAGTGACAAAATTCCAGCCTTGTAAAAGAAAAAATAAAAAATTAAGATGCAGATTACTACTAGCATTGTTAACACAGGACATCTTTACCTTCCATATGGTTCATTTTCATCGATTATTTCATTCTAAAGTGAGTATCAGGGAATCTACACAGACTTCAGAGCTGGTTCTCTTCAACATCGTGCATTAGAAACAAATGCGTGAATCACTTGAATTTGCAACTTCACTCTCAATAAATATTTTTATTTTAAATATAGGTACCAAAAAGCAAAAGTTTCCTTTTGAGGAAAAAGTCGAAATAAAAAAAGATTTTTTTTTTTTTCTAAAGTAGGAGCTGCACCACTTCCAACTAGGACAGGTTTGGGAGGACTCACACCTCTAAGGAAATGTTTCTCACAGAAGATGTGTGCTGTGGGACCGCAGCCACCATAACACAGCAAAATAACAACCTCACAGCCTGCGAGACCACAATCCTGTTCCCTTGTATACAAGCGTTTTTTTTGTTCATAAACTTTCTCTATGGCTTTATACGCAATGCCATTGTTTAAACAAAAACATTTATTCTGTATAGTCTATTCATAATACAATGCATCTGCCTTATGATGCATTTAAGTTTAATTAGAAAACTATAACTGCTTGTAATTTAACCAAAGTGCGTAACTGAAGAGGAGGAAGGGCACCCAGCCTGGAGTGTTTAAGTGCTGCATAAAAAGCTTTCAATGAAAATTTACTGTGGGTGCTTTTTCTTTTTTTTTCATAAAATACATAATTTCAGAGAAGTTCACTACTACTGGAGTCTACTACAAAATGTTGGGGTTTTTTTTCCCCTAAAATAACACTAGGATTTTTCCCAGTAACACAAACCTGTGAATCATGATGACACGGAAATGAGACTTTGAATAACCTTGTAACTTCTGTGCCTATGACCCTTTGCCATGAAGGAAGGCGGTGGCACACGATTTTGTCAGGGAGCTCAGATGGCTGAGAGACTGCACAGCCCGATAACCTCCCTCTACTCGAATCATGGTTCCAGCTGGACAGGTAGGCCAAAAAATCAGTTAATGTCGGACAAGCATTCAGTAGGCTGCATGGCAGACAGGGATCATTTGACTGAGCTTGTATGAAACAAGCATCAGGATGAAAACATTTGTTTTGGTGGTGTCAACAAAGAAGACGACATCACGAACAGTAAGGCCATCGCGTTGTCTTCTTCCTCTACACCGTCAGGGGCCACGACCTGTAGGCCACGCTCTCGGTTGTAGCTGTCTTCAGGAAAAAAACTTCCACTTCCAATGTCACTCTTTTGAAAGCCATCACCCACAACCCCATTTGTTTAAGTCTAAGCTCTAATACAGTGTCCTGGTTTGGCTGGGACAGGATCCCACCCGGCCCAGCCAGGCCAGGCAGGCCGTGAGCAGTTTGAGCTGCCCTGAGTGAGCTGCAGGGGTACCTGTACCATCATGTCATGGGCGTTATAGAGGGGGAAGGTTGGCAGAGGAGCTCCTGCTGAGGTTTCTCCTGCTCCTCCGGCTCCTCCCTGCTCCCGAGGACTGCTCTGCTGTTGACTGTGACTGCTGTGTATTCATGTGGCCGAGTACAACTGCGTGTAGCTCTGTTGGTATGGGTGCTGTTTCACTAAATCTGTTTCACTTCAACCCCTGGGTCTGCTCTCCTTTTCCTGATTCCCCTTCCTGGCTGGTGAGGGGTCAACAGGTGATAAAGCAACAGTTAAGAGTTTACCCCTGGATATGGGATAAACGTAGACAGACACCTCCTAAGATGGAATGAAATGGAACACAGTATTTCAGAAATAACTTCAAAATTGCATTTGAATAACAAATATGACATTTGGATGGTTCATTTACATTTCAGATAAAAATTTGTTGAAAAACTTTTAACTCTCAAGAATAAGTTTCAGGAACAGTAATAAAACCAACAAGGTTAATCTCAGTCCATAACTGTCACAAAACTTTTTTATCTTAACTATTCCAACCCACAACTTGGAAAATACAGTCTTAATATCATCACCATACAGGAGTTTTCAACTCTGCAGTGGACTTAATGCAGAGTAAAAGAAATTGTCTCAAAATAATAATCTCGTGGTCAGGAATCTATGTTCCAATATGAAACACATCAACAAAGCTGATGTTGATTTTCTTTGGGACTCCTTACTAAGCCTGGTAACAAGTTGCCTGTCACAAGCACCAATTTCACAACTTTACTGCTAGTTGTGTTCTTCCCTTTTCATTCCTGTCGGTTTCAGAAGCTGC